CCCCCCCCCCCCCCCCAATCAAAATCCTTGCTACGGCCCTGGTGTGAAGGAAACACAGCTATGTTTGTTGGGAAGGTTAGATGGGCTGTGGACTCGAAACCCACATTAGGGTTGACTCGAAATTCAATCGGAAATGCTGGGAATCCACGCTTGGGGAGGTTCTTTAGTCCATGTAGCATCCTAGGAATGTGTAGCGCTGTGCACCTCATTCAAAAAAGAGGGAAAGAAAGAAAGGGAGGGAGAGGGAGAGAGAGAGAGGCCAAACTGATTTCTCCACTGACAGAATCCAAGATGCATTGCCAAGTCCCATTCACTTCAAGGCATTTTGCTTCCTTTCCTCCCAGTGGGGAAAAAAGGCAGGATTGTGGCCATCAGAAGAGAAATAAACAACAGAGCAAATCTCCAAGAATACTGCACACCTCCCAGTTCAGAGCACTCGAGAGTTTGGTGGGAATTTCCATCCGTTTCAACGCACATGCCTCTCAATCCTGAGGTAAAGGTTTTCCCCTGACATTAAGTCCAGTCGTGTCCGACTGCTCATCTCCATTTCCAAGCCGAAGAGCCGGCGTTGTCCTAAACACCTCCAAGGCCTCCTTGCCGGCATGACAATTAGGAAGAACTTCCTGACTGTGAGAGCCGTTCAGCAGTGGAACTCTCTGCCCCGGAATGTGGTGGAGGCTCCTTCTTTGGAAGCTTTTAAACAGAGGCTGGGTGGTCATCTGTCAGGGGTGCTTTGAATGCAATATTCCTGCTTCTTGGCAGGGGGTTGGAGGTTCCAACTCTATGATTCTATGAGCGTCCTTACCTTCCTTCGTGGTTGGCATGACTGCATGGAGCGCTCTTACCTTCCCTCCGGAGCGGTACCTATTGATCTACTCACATTTGTATGTTTTCGAACTGCTAGGTTGGCAGAAGCTGGAGCTGACAGCGGAAGCTCACGCCGCTCCCCAAAATCGAACCTGTGACCTCTCAGTCAACAGCTCAGTGCTTTAACCCACTGCGCCAACCAGGGGCTCCCTCAATCCTGAATTCTGAATCAATTCCTTGTTGTTAGTCTTTGGAATGGGTAGTTTCTCTAAGATTCACCAAGGAGTCCCAGTAACAAAACGACCTCCAATTATAATTAGGACCCTCCCCCCCCCCCCCACTCCCGATGCAAGATGGATGGATGAAGTGCCTGGCTTGACCTTGAAGGAGCTGGGGGTGGTGACGGCCGGATAGGGAGCTCTTGCATGGGCTAGTTCATGAGGTCAGGAAGAAGCGACTGAACACGAACAACACCTCCGATGCAGAATGAATCCGGTTTGGACTGGGTATCCAACTCATGTCCCTTCTCTCTCACTGGCTTGACCTTGAAGGAGCTGGGGGTGGTGACGGCCGGACAGGGAGCTCTGGCATGGGCTAGTTCATGAGGTTACGAAGAAGCGACTGAACAGGAACAACAACACCCCCGATGCAAAATGAATGCGGTTTGGACTGGGTATCCAACTCATGTCCCTTCTCTCTCAC